AAACAAAGTCAAAACAGAGGAATATGAAATCAGCAAACTGGGAGTTTTCTCACACATTATAGACACCTTTGCACATAGCTTCCATCTATCGTTGTTTTTTGTCTGTATTTTTGTTCTTTCATAAGGATCCGACAGATTAACCGAGTCTGCTCTCTCTTAACTGTGTTTTCTCTTTCCTTAGGCCATATCTCTCCGTGGAAGGCCTCCAAACAGGTACAATGATTGAACCAAATGTGTGTCTGCCTGTGTGTATTTTTGTGAGTTTGACAGTGGAAAAAAAAAAGAGAAAGAGGGAGAAAATGTGTGTCTCTGAACCAGATTTGTTTGCTGAAGCAGAGAGGTAGGATGTAGGATCAGCGTTTGTCACCGGTGGGTTGGCTTTTGCTTTATTGTGAAATGAGGCAGCGTGTCCTGACCTGCTTATTGGGTTTGATCACATCAGATCTCACACCTCACCAGCTGGGAAAAGCTCTTCAGATTTACACTTAAACTGCACCTGCTACTGCTTGTGCAATCAGCAGTAATTCATCGTATTAGACAGAATATTCAGTCATAATTAATCTCATTTCATTTAAATTCAAATTGTGAATATTGATTTTAATTCATTATCTTCTATGCCTATTTTCCTTTATTATATAATTTAGTTACTGAATCAGAACACATTTACAAGGCCCCCACGCGTCATGGAAAATTAGAGACTAGTTTTCCAGCCATGAGAACACCATTGTTTTTTTTTCAGTTCTTTTAGCCCTTCACTCAGCCTCAGAATGCAAACATATTTTGTTTGAAACTGTTTGTGGGATAACCTGCGCAATATGGCACTTCAAAGCACAAAGGGCTGAGTGAAGGTGAATATTTATGAAGAGAGTGTGGTGATTAATAAACCAGCCAGTCACATCACTGGTCTCAGCTCTGGAACTGCTGAGCTAATCACAGTGACACAGCATGACAACAACTTTCCCTCCTAAACAGGCAGAATACTTTACTGAAGTTTCTGCTTTAACTGCAATAAACATTATTATTTGCTGATTTAAACACATCTAATGATTGGGAAGTGTTTGATAAAATCTAACTCACAGTTTTAGCTTTATTCTGTTATTGTTGAACATTTGCTTCAAGTATTTTATTTGCTGTTGTTGATAAAATCATCGGATTGGCAGCAGCTTGACTTCTAGACCCAGAAGTGGTTCTGAGGCGTCTATTCTCCAAAGAAATTTTAAGACCCATTTTCCACCAAAAGACCTAAAACTGGTCACTCACCTCACACCAGTGCACCTTCAAAATACAGCGTTAACAAGCGAATTTCAAGGCCAGAAAAATACATAACGCTCGGCGCACTGCCGGCACTGGTTGTTGCACCACCACTAAAATAAACTCATATAGTAAATTAAACATCTGTTGTTGGTGTTTTCCTTGTAGTTGCCTGACCAGTGGGACCCACACGGCAGCCCCCAAGCAAACCTGTCTGGCCCGGTTTTACCACCTGGCACACCCTTTCCAAACCAGCCACAGCACCGCACGTCCGTGCCTGACTCCACCGAGGGCTTTGATCTTAACAAACCTGACCCCTACGACCTTTATGAGAAGTCAAGGGCCATTTACGAGAGCCGACGTGAGTACTGCTGAAACTTTGATCATGGGACGTAAAAAACATGGACATAATACAGTGATTTGAAATGAAAGAAAAAGCCGACCTTTAAAGTCTACATCTGCATCTCAGGTCCCGAGTATGAAGAGGTGGAGGTGCACTTGCTGAGAGAGAAGACCGGGTTCGGCTTCCGCATCCTGGGGGGAGACGAGGCCGTGCAGGCTGTGAGTCCGGACGCCCGTGACAAGGCTCGTATGGGACGGGCTGGACCACACGCATATTTAACCTCATACACACTAACACCTCGTCATACCTGCACCTAACCTCATCTCACACATTGACCAACATACCTTCCACATGCACACACAAACACCCACCCACACACACGCACACACACACACCCTGGCTTTCTCACACAGTCCTGACTCTCTAACTGCTCAGTACCTCCCATACTGAATTAACGCCTTGCTAACTTGTCCACGTGTAAAACAGCATGCAAACTATGTGGCAGAAGATTATTAGGAAGGTGGAAAAATGCCCAAAACTAGTTTACAACTTGGATAAAGCAATCGCTGTGTTGTTCCACTGTGTCTGTGTTTCATCCCCTTCACCTTCATCTATGCTGCTAATATTGATTGTCTTTGAACAGATTGTTATTGGCGCTATAATAGAGAACACTCCTGCTGAGCGTGATGGGCGGCTTCGACCCGGGGACGAGCTCATTTCTGTGGATAAAAATGTGGTTGCTGGGAAACCACACAAATACGTAATAGACTTGATGCATGCAGCCGCTCGCAACGGTCAAGTCAGCTTGACTGTGAGAAGGAGGGTGCTAACGCCTGGTGAGGACATGTTTTATTTTTTGTGCCTCTTTTGTTTTTGTGTTTTGTTTTATTTTGTTGTTTCACACTTTACCAAGACTGGAGAACAGGCTGCACATTTCACTGGCTTCAAATTTAAAAAATAAAATACAACTTGGACAGGACACATGTGCTGACAATCTGTGTGCAGGATCAGTGTGTACTTCTCATCCACACATCTCTTCTGTGGTAGTAGATCGTACAGTCAGTCAGACACTGGGGGGTTAACCCGGGTTGGGGGTATGTAGAACCCTAAAAACAGACACACATTAAAATAAAGCACTAATGGCTGGTTGGTGGTCAAGGACTATGTTTACATGCACAAAATATTTCAGTTTTTTGCCCTTATTCCAACAATATTCCTACTAAGCTGTTTACATGGTGAATGAAAAGGAATATTCCACTAATATTCTCGTTTACATGCAGCTGTACATTTCCCTCCTTTTCAAATTGCAGTCATGTTGCTTCCGTGGTAAAAGTGGAACAGCTGGAGCAGCTTGAGCCATTTTGCCTCTTTGCATTAAAATAAGTTTTTTTCAACAGTGTTTGACCATGTGAACACAGCCTCCCTCTCTCATTCATCCAAACATCTGCTTGAAAAGGTCGGCGTTGCAATATTTGTGCATATCCAAAAACCTGTTGATAAACCTTATGTAATGTTAAATGTAGGTTTGTTTCTCCTTCCGACCAGAAATGTGGATCAGACAGGCTACGGGAAAAACACCAAATAAGACGCGTATTCCAAATGCGCTGTATACATGTCCAAAGAATGCTTTTAAAACCTAAATAATATCTTCATATCTCACACGTCGTAATCGGAAGATGCTCTATTTAAAATAAGGCCTTATTACCCTTATCAAATGTGGAATATTATCATATTTGGAATAATAGTGGAAAATTAGTGTGCATGTAAAAGCAGTCACTGTTGCTGATATCTAGCTCCTATCTTTATTCTTATGTGCACACATGACACACAGTCAGTATATAATAAGTATTTCTCTGTATTTTCAATATTAACTCTTTAACCAGCAGCTACATGTTGGATTTTTAGTAAAACACAGAACTCACACAGGACACACAGTGTTAAGGTGATAACCTGCCCGGTTCCCAGCAACACAGTTTACTGACAAAACAACTACAGACCCAAAAGGCAACTAAAAGAGTTTGATCATCCTCCAGCCTGTCACACTGAAAAGCACCAGACCAGATGTGTTCATCAACAACAGCAGAAACATACTGGTTTATATTTAACATGTCTGTCAGTGATTCTGTGATTTAAACTGTTTTACTTGCGTAGGAGACCTGTGAGTGATCAACTGCACACAGCATGTGGAGGATACAGAAACGGCCAAAAAGAGCCACACACACAGATGTTGGTTGACATGTAAACCAATATGAGTTCAGTGACTTGGAGGCATTAGATAATAAATGTTAGATGGATTTCCATTTATCATATACTGGGGGGATGTGACCACACAGCAATCACATGCTTGATCTATCCTTTGTTCATTGTAAATACTACCGCCGCCTCTGTGGTTTGCGTCTTTCTTTCTGCACTGCAACTGCAAGGGCATACACATGCCAAAAACAGACAAGCAAAAGTTGACTTTGACAGAGAAT